TTCCTGAGAATGTGGGTTCGTCCCTCCGTGACACCGGGCCTCTTAATTTTCTGCAAGCCGCACATTCACTGGCTACCCCTGAGAGCCTGCCATTTCTACCGACAGCTGATCATACCTCATACACCAAGGTTCCCCACGTCACAGAAGGCCTTCCTGAAGGGCTGAATGAGCCCCGATGTTGCTTTCATGAAAAGACAATTTTCACATCCAACACACAAGAGAAATCACTGATGAAACCAGAGCAAACTGAAGGTTCACTCTGCCTGCCTCAGCTAACTTCAGCGTCATTTAAGTATAACAGCAAATGCACGTTACACAGAAGCTCAAGGTTCGAAAACTCCCCCCTCAACACACACACACGCATGCACGCACACACACGCACACACACACAAAGTGAACCAGTGAAACCAAAATTGTGTACTAAAAGACACAAAAAGAGTGCATATAATCTCTCTCGCCTATGTTTTCACGATCAAGTTTGGATGTTACAAAATGCTCCTAAAACTCTCAATTTGGTCTGAATATTTATATTTAAAAACGCCATCTTATAGAAAGTTAGATGATGTCTCACTTATGCTCTAAGTAACGTGCCGAAACGCACATCAATGCCGGTCTGTGTGGGTAGGTTTTTCTTGTTAAAACTGTGACAACAGGCAGAGATGATTGATAATAAGACCAACTCTAGGTTGTTTCTCTGCATCCCACCTTCTCATCCCCTCCCCCTGCGAGTGCAGGTAGGCTTTCTTTCACAAACATGAAGACTCAAAGTAAAAAAAAAACAGCACTGGTTAGTCAGAACGCTCTCCTCACTGGAAAACCACCATTGGAGGGGCCAGGAAATGACAATTTTCAGCCTCCTGTGGTACGTGAATTATAAACCATACACAGTGTCATGTGAAACCAGGGAAATTCATATATTTCAGGAAAATCTCTCCCTCCCCTGGGCTTGTGTTTTGTTCCATGTGAATCGAATTCCTGTATTTTCCTATGGAGCATCTATGGTTCCTGCCGGAAGGAAACAGAAAACGTCAGTTCTCTGAAGGGAAGCTACTGCATGTGCAGCTACGGGGCTTTGCTGGAACCCGGCCGCACTTCCTCAGTAGGACTTGCAGGTTTATCTCAGCTGTGAAAGCAACAAAAAGACTAAGGACATTTTCCTCACTACAGAAAAGCTGTTTGCTTACTGTCTGGAGAAACAGCAAATCCTTAAGTGTAAAGGCACTCCAGCAATTTAGGGATAAGTCAGCCCCTCCTCTTTTTGAATTTTGCCTTTCTCTCGGGTGAGGGCTTCTTCTGATTTATGCAAAGATTTAGAAGTACAGTTGTCCCTCGGTGTCCAAGGGGGATTGATCACAGGGTATCTGCAGATCTTCAAGTCCTTTATATAAAATGGCACACACACATGCACATCCTCCTTTAAACTTTAAATCATCTCTAGATTAGTTATAATATCTAATACAATGTAAATGCTATGTAAATAGTTTCCTGCATGGAACAAATTCAAGTTTTGCTTTTGGGGACTTTCTGGAATTCTTTTTCTCCCCTAATATTTTTGATTTGAGGTTGGTTGAACCTGAGGACGCAGAACCCGTACATAGGGAGGGCCGACTGTACTAGAAGAATAGGTCACTGGGTTTGTGGCTACATCTGGCTCCTACTATTGTGAAATAAAACCACGTTCTGCTGGTTTCCTTAGGTAAGAGCAGAAATGACTGGATGGAATGCCCGTCAGCCCATGCTATTTGAAGAGACATAGTCTGAATCCTCAAATACTTTGAAACCTTAAAAAAAAGTCAGAAATAGTAGGAAACATTGCATCTGAAGCCACAGAATACTTAATGTTAACCGGTATGGCTGGAATAAGTGTGCAAGATGATGTATTCATCTTTGATGATGTATTTGGAAATAGCACCCTTCTGTAAATTCAAATTGTTCAGAGTCCCTTTTCCATAGAATCCAGTGTGGTCTTAACATTTCTTCATGATCACGTGTGTTTGTCATTTTGTTTTTGGCTTCAGTCAAAGCTAGCGAGCTGAAACAGTCATTGCCCCATTTCAGCTGTAGGACTTCTGGCAAGTTAGTCAACACCCCTGTGCCTCAGTTTCTTCATTTATAAAGTGAGGGTAATAATAGTGTCCTCCTGTGAGAGTGCTTCTCTGTTGATTAATTTAACAAATACCACTGCATGTCCCCAAAACACCAGGTGTGGAGGATGCATCAGAGAGCAACACTGAATGTGTGTCCCTGTCCTTCTGGCTTTTGTTGCTCAGGGAGGGAAATGAACAAGTAAGCAAACAAAAAATAAGCAATTTTACATGATGTTAAGTGTTATGAAGGAAAATAGGGTGATTTGAGTGGTTTGAAGGAAGGTCTCCATGAGGTGGAGGCATTTAAATTGAAGAATGAACAAAATTAGCCAGGCAAAGGCTGGATATTTCAGGCAGAAGGAGAAGCATGTGCAAAGGCCCTGAGGTGCAAGAGTCTTTGAAGGCTGAAGAAACGGAACACTGGACTCTTGGTTGGAGAACAGTGCTGTGGGCTGCGAGGGGAAATAGGCAACAGGCGGGTCCAGGTGGTGCCGGCTTGTGGGCCAAGGGAAGCAGTTGGAGCTCAGTTCCTGAGCACTTTGGGAGGCCATTGGAAGACTTCACTCAAGAGCAGCACTTGACCTCATTTACATTTTACAAAGAGCTCTCTCGCCACTGCTGTGTGGAGTGGAGGCTGGGAAGGGAGTGGAAGTCAGGGTTTTCTTTGTAAGGATTAAATGAGATAATGAATGTTTAGCAGTTGGTGCAATACTTGACACATAACAACTGCCCAGTTTACATGATTGCTGTCATTCATTACTATCAGCATTAATAGTAATAATGCTTCAGTTTGGCATCATAATCTGACGCTATAATTCAACATGTACACCTGAAATTAAATGTCTTCTCTGATTTCAGTCACCACAACGTCAAAAAAAGTTAGGTCAGGAGTTGGGCGGTGAGTTTACTAGCCTAGCTGGGTCTCGAACGTAAAGCCGATTTTGATCCCTAAACAGTTTACTGTTGTCCACATAATGAGTTGCATGTGTTGAGGGCAAACTTTTTTTTTTATAAATTTATTTATTTATATTTTATTTTGGCTGCATTGGGTCTTCGCCGCTGCGTGCAGGCTTCCTCTAGTTGTGGCGAGCAGGAGCTACTCTTTTTTTAAAAAAAAAATTAATTTATATTTTATTTTTGGCTGCATTGGGTCTTGTTTCTGTGCGAGGGCTTTCTCCAGTTGCGGCGAGCGGGGGCCACTCTTCATCGCAGTACGCGGGCCTCTCACTATCGTGGCCTCTCTTGTTGCGTAGCACAGGCTCCAGACGCGCAGGCTCAGTACTTGTGGCTCACGGGCCTAGTTGCTCCGCGGCATGTGGGATCTTCCCAGACCAGGGCTCGAACCCGCGTCCCCTGCATTGGCAGGCAGATTCTCAACCACTGCGCCACCAGGGAAGCCCGAAGGCAAACTTTTTATGAAGGAAGTTTGTAAAACATTTTTCAGTAATTACTATACCAACCTATAAAAGAAGACACTCCTTGAAAACAGTTGGTTTTCCAGAAACCCTAACATTAACTTCTGTGAGGTGTACTTCTGACCCGAACCAGGACATGTTTGGAGAGGATGTCTTTGGAGAACGAGCATTTCTGTGCTAGAGCTCAAGCTTTGAGAAAGGGTCTTTGATGGCTACAGAAAATCAGAATATACGTTCTCATTCTGCCTGCTGTCTGGTGGGCTTTTAGCTCCTACTGCCATCTCCTCACCTTCCCGGCAGTGCGACAGGACTGCTGGGCGCTGAGTAACTCCGTGTACCCCCCAGGGCTTCTCTAAGCCTCAGTCTTCTCATCTGTCAAGTGGTGGTGATAAGTGCTTCCAGAGTGTCTGACACAGGAAAAGAGCTCAGCAATTAGCTGTCGTGGTGATTCTTGTTATTTGAAGACCAAAGTGCCCACTCCCCCTTATTTGACCTATTTAATTCCAGGTAAAAAGGATAGTTCTGGCATTCCAGGTGGAACTGCTTTGGTTATCAGAACATTTTAGAGTGATGACCTTTGATCTCTGACCCTAATTTGACCTTTGAGCTAGGAGGAGAGCTGGAAAGAAGCCCCCGGGGAACTGGTTCCAGCTGTCGAATCTAGAGTCACAGACTGGCAGCTTTGCGAGAGGGGGTGCCTCCAAACCCTGCTGGAAATTACACGTGTAAACTGGGAGTTTCGTAAGCCGAGGGGTCTGGGGTTTCCAGTCCCCCGTGCTCCCTTGTTCTAACTGTTAATGATTACCTTTGCGGTGCTCTAATGCTCAATAACGATGCTGCGAACGCACGCGGCATTCTCAGGCACAGGTGCCAGCTGGTACCTCGCCGGGCAGCTGACCGCCTGGGCGCTCTCAGGCGAGCTCCCCGGGGCCCAGCCCCTGCCGGCCCGAGCCAAACAAAGGCAGCCCGACCTTCCCCCGTCCACCCCGCCCTCCTCGCCCTCCTCGCGCGGCCTTAAAGAGGCCCGGTCCCTCCTCCCAGCCCTCTCCCCTCCCCCGCCCCTCTTTCGCCCTTCCCCTCGCTGCCCTCCCTCCCACTGGTGGTTTCTTCCTGCAGCAGAAATCCAGGAAGCCGTCCCCCACGTTTCCTCTCCGCACAGTTTTCTCCAGGGCCTAACTCACACCCGACTCGGCTTGATCTGGAGTTCCCTTTTCTCTGCCCCAGGAGAGCCCCAGCTCTGCCGTTCATTTCTGGGAGTAGGGGCTTGCTAGAGAAGGTTGCTTAGTTTTGAGTCTCATGGTTGCCCTTTCATCATCATCATCAAAAAAAAAAACTTACTGAAGACAAATTACCGAAGAACAAATGTGAGGCTTCTCTCTCCTCCCTCCCTCCTTCTCTCTCTCTCTCACTCTCTCTCACACACACACACACACACACAAAGCCCCTTTACACATTCGTCAATAGAGCAGCCTTCCGCAGGCAACATCTGCAGGATGAGTCGTTTTTCGGTGACTTTAATCTCCTCATTCACTGTGTCTGCGGTGCGGGTTGCAGTGCTGAAAGGCTGTAACAGCAGGCCGATTTGGCACACAAACAAATTTAAATGTGAACCGGGGGGTGGGCTTGCCCACCTTATGAAGAGTGGTTGAAATGCTGCCAAAAAACAAAACAAAAACAAAACAATAGGTGGGGTTGGTGAGGGTTGGGGGACCCGGCTCGCAGTTCCTACGCAGGGCGGAGGCTCCTTTAATCCTGCCAGCCCGGAGGCTGCCGGGGTCACGGCACAGCTGCCCCGCAGGAAGGCCGAAGGGCGAGCAGGGGCGCACGCGGCCTGGCGGCGGGGCGCTGGGCGCGGCGCGGGCCCAGGGGCCGGGGCTCTGCGCCCACCGAGGCCCCGCCGCCGCCGCCGCCGCTGACCTTGACTTCTCCCCCCGCCGCCGCGGGCGCTGGAGGAAGGCCGGGCCAGATGGGCGTCCCGCGCGTGACGCCGCCCTCCCGGCCCCGCACCTGCCCCGTGCGCCCCTGCGGTCCCCCGGCCCGGCCCGCGCTCCGGGGGTCCCGGCGAACAAAGGCGAGCCTGGCCTCGGCCGGCTCGGGGGGCTCCTTCCCCCCAGGGCCCCGCGGGGCATCGCAGGCCCCGGCGACCCGCGCGCCCGGACCACGGTGTCGCCCGCGCCCGGCGGGTCCCTGGAGACGGACCGCGCGGTGACAGGCCTGAGGCGGCTCGAGGGATCCATAATTTATGATGTTGCTCTTACCAATCCGGTTTGGGGTTTCACAAGCGTTGCCTGTTTTCTTTCCCATTTGTTGCTTCCGTCCGTCCTTTCCGAGAAAATGCCTCCCCCTTCCTCTCCCCAAGACAGTAGTTACCTTACAGACTTAATGTGATAAGAAAGCAAAAAGTGAGTGTCTCCCTGAGGGATTGCTCAGAGGGGGTGAGAGGAACGCAGGTAAGGGGGCGGGGCTGAAGAAGACGGCTGAGTCCACCGCGGACCTTCGACTACTCTTACCCCAACTATGTAGGAAAAAACCTTATTTCCAGAGAGGTGGGGTGAGGCGTTTGTGCTGAGAGGCAGTGAGAACAGATGCTTTCCCTCCCCTACCACCAATCATTTTCCTCATTTATAACTATACCTTTTCGCCCTGAGTGTTTTTTTTGTTTTTTTTTTTTTTAGCACTGCAGGCCTGCAAAAAATGATGTGGGGTGGCAGGAAGGGAAGGGGTTAATTGCTCCCTCCCTGCACCCGGACCAGACTGAGCCCTGACCCTGCGGGGGGCCAGCATTACCGCAAAGCAACCTCAGGTGCTCCTAACTTAGGATACATTGGGGGAGCCTTTGGCAAAGGATGCTTCTGTCCTGAAAACTCCTTAAATTGCTGTAGTGATTGGGGAAAGATGTATGGATTTTATCACATTTTAAGTGCAACAAATGAGTAAAAGATAGGGACAACGAAGGACCCCAAACTAAGTTGGGAGAAGTCTTTCTTCTTTCTTGAAAAGAAATTTATTCTGGGTCCCTTCTTTTCCTCATTTGGACTCAGTGTGGCTAAAGTGGACTTGGGACCAGAGAGCAGCTGTTGCCAGTGCTTTTGCTGAGGCTGGAGCCTGCAAAGACTTGAGTGAGAGGAAGTCTGAGCAGGTCAGATCCACCCGTCTGGATTGCTGCACATGCCCAGAGGCCCCAAGCCCAGGGCTGCTCCCATCCCTGCTGCGGCTGAGGAAGGAACGGGCCTAGGAAGAGCTGTAAGCTCCAGAGCCTGCAGATGGCTGGGTCATTTTGCGGTTTACGAACAACCAAGTCAGGTTGAAGGCAAAGTCACTGTGGTTCCAGGCAACCACGATTAGTCACACACAGTGAGTGACCCAGTTACGGCACACCCTCTTTTAAAAGGACATCAGTCCACGTCTTGCTAGCTTGATTGCAGAAACGGTCCGCGGATACAAGGAGGATGAAGACTGCAAGGGATGGGGAATTGAAACCTAGGGTGTAGGTTCCTCCTACAGGCCAGGAGTTGGGTTTTCTGAAAAGCAGCAGATCTGGGGTGTGACTTTTAGGGCAAGTAGAATTTCACTGAACTTTGACGAGAGAGTGCTTTCCAGGTCCGGTATGGCCTTCTGTGAAGGGAGGCAGGGAGAGAAAAGTGCCTCCGAGTTAGCTCCTGAGTGCTGACTTGCCTTATAGGTTCCTGACCACCTGTCAGATGAAGGTGGGGAGACAGGAAGAGGAAGAAAAGCCCTGCATATGGAGGCTTGTGTGGGGTTTTGCTTTTTAAAAATAGCATTTCTTTTTACCACAACGGCATAGGAACTTGTAAAACGCAAATCCCCGACAACAGTAAACAAATTAGTCTAGGTTCTTCCATCTGAAAAGTAAATAGAGCAAGTGTCTCTCTGTCTCTGTCTCTCCTCTCTCTCGCTCTTTTTTTTTTTTTACAAAGGGAAAATGCAAAACAAAAATGCCCCCTCCTCCTAAAGGCTTGGTGAGTGTCCAGGAACAAACAGTCTTTTATTCGAATGGTCTCCAAAAGTTCATAAGCAAAAAACAGTGTCCGATGTCTGGTTACCCACAATACAGTCTCTGGCTGCATAGTGAAGCTTTTCTGTCCTGAACTTGTGATCTGCTATCAGAGTCCTTTAATTTCTCCGAACAGAAGGCTCTTTGGGAGAAGAAAGCTTGGGGCTGGGGAGCAACGTTGGAATCAGTCTTTTTTTTTCCGTTTGCTCTTTTCTTCCAGTCAGCGAGTAGTGCTCGAATTCTTTTGATCTTCCGCAGCATCTTAGTGAGCTGAGGGCCAGGGAAGGGTTAAACCAGGCCACAGGCAGGTTTCCCTGCTGCCCTATTTTACCGGGGTGGAGCAGCTGGCCCAGCACCACCTAGGAACTCTTCATAAAAAGGCGCCGCCCTACTCCTGATGCCCTTTATCTCCTTGGGAGATTTTCCTTTGACAGCGCGTTTCATACCAACTTCAGTGATGACTGTCTTTTTTAAAGTCATAGGTTCCCTTTAACCAAGGGGAGTTTACAGATGTTCCCGACATTCCGAATGTAGTATCTGATGAGATGAAAGAGGCAAAGGAGGAGGGAGAAGATGGACCATCCTTTTGAGGGATGGGCAAAAATAATTATTTGTAGCTAAGTTGTAATTGCTTAGAAACAAATCATTTGTAACATTTGGCCACTTGTTGTGGGTGGAAGCTTCAGTTAAATGAATTCAGTTTGATATCCTTTCACTGAGCAGCCTTGATCCCAGCCAGGTGCTTTCCTAGGTGCCGAGGATACGGAAGGGCAAGGCAGGCCGAGGCCGTGCTCTCGCGGAACTTACATCCTATGGGGGAGCGAGAGCTAACAGGTAAATTTTTAAATGACTTCTGGCTAGGGATGAGAGCTTTGAAAATAATACCACCGGACAGAGAGACGGCCTCTGAGGAGCTGATATTTGAGCTGAGATCAAGACACAAAAGGGAGGCAGCCATGGTGCCACTTGGGAGAAACAGTCCAGGCAGAGAGATGCAGGAAGTCTGGGAGGAGCTGCTTCAGTCGCAGAGACAGGGAAGGCGCAGGTCACAGGGCTGGGGAGAAACAGGGGGTGGGGGGCGCGGAGGCCCAGGGTTCCTTCACTTGCCGCGTGCACAACTCCAGGGGGCGCTGTCCTGACCTGCAGCCTGCCTGTAACCGGCGTCTGCCCTGAGTCACTTCCACAGGCAAACCAGCAGGCCTGCTGAGCTCAGACGATGCCTCTTTACCTGCGAATCTTCTTTGCTTTGCCTTGAAAGCCGGCAATATTGATTGAAAGCAGAAGACACAGCTGTTGCAGAGCAAAAATCCATTGTCTGCAGTGGGGGGGGGGAGGTGTCAGAGGGTACATCTTGAGGAGTTGGCCAACTGGTGGGGACGGGCTTGGGTTACGCAGTTCTGAGGGGAGAGACCCGTGACCCGTGTACCAGGACCAGTGTTTCCCCTCGGGAGAGACTCGTGCCGCCAGAAGCAGCCCCCTCAGACGTGGGTGTGGGCCTCCTGTCTCAGGTGCCTGCCATCCAGCCCCCCAGGTCTGCTTCCCACTTCTTCCAGAGGCCTGGGGTGTCCCTCCTCACTCACAGGTCTGTCCCAGCAGCCAAGGGCAGATTTGGTTCTTTTCTCCCATGAAAGCATCAAGTCACCTCTGAGTTCCCTGGAAAAAGGGCCCATCTCTTTCCTTCCTTTCCTGCTTTTCTCATTCCTAAATTTAGATTTCTGAATGGTGGGCAAGGCTTTTCCAGTTCTTGGGTGGAATGTGGAGGAGAGGAAGAGATAAAAGAATATTAAGTGAGGCAGCAGGAAGCCCCCAGCTGAGGAATGAGGCAGGACCGCCCCTCTGCCTCACTCCTAGGGCTCTCAATTCACTTGGAAGCAAACTCGGAGGCTCCTACAATTGACTTTTTCTTTTTTTATGGTCACCTCCCTCCCTCACCCCCAGCCGCGGGCCTCAGGCAAGTCCCTCTCAGGGCCTCCACCTCACTCCTGGGTTGTAGGGCCTTTTGCCACTAGGGCTCTGGCAAGTGGATGAGCTGTTCCCCGTCTCTGCCCTCACTGGCTCCGTGGCCATTGGAAAGCACCCATCCTGGCAACCCTGGGGCTGCATTTCCAGTAGGGGAGGGGGAGAGGCAGCAGCCAGCCCAGCAGACGCCGGCCACTGTCTCAGGGCTGTGGCCCTTTCTCAAACCTCTCTGATTCCCTCCCTGTCCTGGCCTCACTTAATCAGAAGAGTGTCTAGACTTCTGTCTCTTTCAGCTTCAATGCCCATGCAGAATAGAGACTTCTGTTTTGTTCTGTCAAGTGACTTAGCGTCACAGAACACCGGCATGTCCTCTGTTCCCTATTTCCCTTCCTCTTTCAAGATCCAGCTCTGGGTTCCATGACGATGGGTTTGAATCTTACCTCTGCCTTTTTCTGTCCACCTGACCTCGATGAGTTGTGTGATTGCCCGGCGTCTCAGCTCACTTGTAAAATGAGGATCATGATTGCACCCCGCCCAGAGAGCTGCTGCAAGAGTTAAACGAGCCCATCGGTGAAGACCTCCTTGGAACATGCCTGGCCCGTGGCCGGGGCTCAGATACATGACGAGCGCCGAAGGTCGCAAACAACTCCTTAAAGCCTCTCCTCCCTTGGCTTTGTCGCCTCGCACTACGTTTGGGATGCCTCTGATCTCGGCCTGCTCTGGCTCCTTGAAGTCCTTCTCCCAGTCTCCCCTGGTCGTCTTGATGTCACCTGGGGAGTACCTGCTGGCCCTGTATTTGTCTCACACTGTTGAATCTCCCGCATCCATCCTGCAACTACCGACTCTACACTGGTCACCTCCGAATTGGCATCCCCAGCCCTCTCTGCAGATGACTTCCTGTGACTCCAAGTTCCACTTGGACTGCTTGTGGCATCACAAACCCAATCTACCTAAAACCCAAGTGACCACCTTCCCTCTCCGACAGAAATCCTCTCCCAGCCTCGGGATGTATGACTCCACCCTGGGAACCATGCTGGTTCCACCTTCTCCTGAACACCCTTCCTCCCGGCTGCTGTCTACTTCTCTGAGGCTCTGGGTCTGAGGCATCTTCATCCACAGTGACTCCACCTGATAATCTCTCTTATTTCCTTTCCAAGACCACCACACACATCTAGCTCTTGAGCGCGTCGTGTCTGTGATGTTTTGGTTGCTACCTCCCTGCCCCCAGCCTCCAAGCTCTCCTGTCTGATCTATCCTTCCATAGACTGTTTGGTCCCCAAGGCAGCCTGTGGGAGAGAAAGAACAGTCTGATCTGTTACATCAGCCGTCTCTGTGCGAGGACTCAGTTTCCTCATCCAAATGATATGCTCCTGCACACGTGTAGGGGAGATGTTTTGGTTTATGTCCACCGTAAGTTTGATGTTAGGAGGAGAGACTTCTGGAGAGGGCTGTGAGGTTGATTTGCATGAAGATCCAAGAGAGTCCTGGGTAAGGACTCACCATAAGGGCAAAGAGAGTCAAA